TGTTAAGTGTATGGTTCTGTGGCATTAAGTCCATTCCCATGTTATGCAATCATCATCGCTGTTTATCTCCAGAACTTTTTCATCACTTCCAACTAAATTGTCCCCGTTAAACACTAACCCCCCATTCCTCCTCCCCGGTCCCTGGGACCCACCATTCTACTTTCTGTCCCTATGGATTTGGTTACTCTAGGGACCTCCTAGAGTGGAATCAGACAGTCTTTGTCCTTTTGTAACTGTCTTATTACACTGAGCATAATGTCCTCAAGGTTTATCCGTGTTGCAGCCTGTGTCAGAATTTCCTCCCTTTTTAAAGTGAAGTTGACTTTTTAAAAAGAACAACACTTTTTAATTGAAGTTAAATAAGCATGCNTAAAGTGAAGTTGACTTTTTAAAAAGAACAACACTTTTTAATTGAAGTTAAATAAGCATGCAGAAAATCCTATGGATCATAAGTGGAGAACTTGATGAATTTTCACAAACCAAACACACCCATATAACCAGCAACCAGATGAGGAAACAGATCCCTTTTAGCCCAAGAAGCCCCCCTCCTTTTTATCCCCTCTCCAGTCACTACCTCCCCCGAGATGTACCCCCATGAGGACTTCAAGTATTGTTGACTAGTTTGCCTGTTATTGGATTTCGGATAAGTGGACTTTTACATATATTCCCTTCTCTGTCTGGATTCTTTTGCTGGACATTAACCTTTTAGTATTTTATGTGCTGACCTGTGGCAGTCATTCATTTCATAATACTCCATTTATGCATCCTCTCTCTGGTTGGTAAAGATTGAAATTGTTGGCACTTTGGGGCTATTATGAATATCACTGCTATGAACATTCTTGTGCATGCCTTTGGCAAATGTGGGTTCATATTTCCATTGGGTAGCCACCCAGGAGTGGAATTACTGGGTCTTGGCAAAGATACATAACTAGTTTTAGTAGAAACTCTCAACCCATTTTTCAGAATGATTGTACCATGTGTTATGGGTTGTACTGTGTCCCCCCAAAATTCATATATTGAAGTCCTAACCCTCAATACCTCAGAATGTGAACTTATTTGGAAATGGGGTTATGCACACATAATTAGTTAAGATGAGATCATTAGGGTGGACCCTTGGAAATTTGGACACAGAGACAGACACAAGAGAGAAAGAATGCTGTGTGAAGACAGGCAGAGAACAGGGTGATACATCTATGAGCCAAGGAAAACCAAAAATTGACAGATAAACACCAGAAGCTAGGAGAGAGGTATGGAACAGATTCTCTCTCACAGCTCTTGGAAGGATCTGACTCTGCCAACACCTCAATCTTGGATTTCTGGCCTCCAGAACCGTGAGACAATAAATGTCTGTTGTTTAAGCCACCCAGTTTGTGGTTCTTTGTTACAGCAGCCACAGGAGACTAATATACCATGTTACCTACCCTTCCATTGGCAGGGAATGAGAGTTCCAGTTGCTCTGCAGCTTCACTGACACCTGGTATTGTCAGTCTTTCTTATTTTGGCCTTTCTTCTGGGCAGCAGCA